GTACATTAAAAACAGTTTGTATAGTAGACAGTAACACATTCAACCAACCTGAAATTCCTTAAATACTGTTCACAGATACAATATTATTTGGTGTGTTCTTGTATTTTGAATTATAAAGTTATAGAAAATTGTTTTCTATTGTGTAACCTATTTCTCGCCTGCTTTTATTAGCCCCCACCAGGACAAAGTCCAGGAGGGAGCTTGTAGTTTCGCCTCCGTCAGTCTGTCAAGAGTGATTTCTCGGAGATCGCTGGACCCTTTTTTCTTTTTTTAGTTCCGCTATCGACTTTTTCGAGTGGAGCTTATCATATGAGTGATTGTCTGTCGTCGTCCGTCTACCGTCGTCCGTCGTCCGTGTCAATGTTTTACTTTTTCGACTTCTTCTTGAAAACTACAAGCCTGAATGCTTTGATACTTGGTGTATATGTTCCTTGGGTAGACCTCTCTCAGATTTGTTCATTTTGTAATGATATCTTTAGTTCTCTAATTATGGTGAATATTTTTGTAATTTTTGGTAAAAAGTGATATTTTCGACTTCTTGTTAAAAACCGCAAGTCCAATTGCTTTGATATTACATATATAGGTACTACATGTGGACCACTCTCAAATTTGTTCATTTTGTAATGATATCTTTAATTCTATAATTTTGGTGAATATTTTTGTCATTTTTGGTAAAAAGTGATATTTTTGACTTCTTGTTAGAAACCGCAAGTCCAATTGCTTTGATATTACATATATAGGTACTACATGTGGACCTCTCACAGATTTGTTCATTTTGTAATGATATCTTTAATTCTCTAATTTTGGTGAATATTTTTGTCATTTTTGGTAAAAAGTGATATTTTCTTCTTGTTAAAAACCACAATCATTTATGGTGAAAAATGATATTTTTGAATTCTTGTTGAAAACAGCAAGTCCCATTGCATTGATACTATGCATATTGTTCATTTTCTAATGATATCTTCTGTTCTTTAATTGAAATGTGCATTGCTAACAGCGGAGCTATCTCAGCCGAGAGGCTGCTTGTTTTAAACTTGGTACAAAGACATAGTGGTCAACCATACATGTACACGTCAATTTATTTTCCTGATTCAATCAAATATGGCCAACTGGCGGCCATTTTGAATGCCAAAATTCAGTGAAATTCTGTCCTTGTGTGTCCATCGTCATTTCTCGGAGATGGCTTGACTGATTTTGTTGAGACTTGTTACAAAGACAAAGGGACCACCTATACAGATGCACCATGTTTTACTTTTTTGAAATGATCATATATGGCCGACTGGCAGCCATTTTGATTGTTAATCATGGCTTTTGTCTGTCCATTGATATTTCTCAGAGATGCCTTGACTGATTTCAATGATACTAGCTACAAAGTGACACAGTGAGGAGGTATACATATTCACATGGATTTATTTCTTGATTTGATCAAATAAGGCTGCCTGGCGGCCAGTTTGAATGTCAAAATCCTGTAAAATCCAGTTTTTTGGGTGTGTCCATCATCATTTCTCAGAGATGCCTGGAACGATTTTGCTGAAACTTTGTACAAAGACAGAATGACCACTGATACAGATGCACATTTTTTCAAGGAATCAATTAATGAGCTCATTTGCATATTTAATTATTAATTTGAATTCTTGTTAGTGTCTTGCGAACTAATAGTCCAAATCAGACCAAACTTGTTTAAGACTTGATTTGTCAATATAAGATATATGCTATGCAATATTGAGTTTCAATTTAATCAATGATTTCATTTGCATATTTACTTAGAATTTCTGTTGATATCTTGTGGTGTGTCAATTGTCATATTTCAATAATCCAGTATACAGCTGTTGAATGAAAATAGACTAAAAAATTTTTTCACACATCACAAATACAGTTTAAAATTACTGAAAATAATGATTTTTGCTATAGTCATTTTTGTTATTCATTTTTTACCCTTTTTAAAATCAAAAAAAGTTGAAAGCGTTTTTTTTTTTAACTGTGGCCATTTTTAATCCTTTAAAGACAAGCCTGTGTTGTTTTTTAGGATAATCTACCCTTGACTTTTAATGTAACTGCAAACAGCATTGTTTTGTAGTGTTAATTGTAGAACAAGAAATGTTCATGATCCAGGATTTGTGATAAAGGGCGAGAACATTGCACTCGCTTATTTTGAATTCAAGGCAAAAACGCTGTGATAGCTTGCTTTGGTGGACTATAATTAAAACACGCTCCAAATACAAAACCTTGCAGAACACGTCATCACATACATTAAAAACTGTTACTACCCAATACGGTAGTTGTATTGCCAATTGTGATATACAACTGCATGAAGGGATTTTTTTTTAGAAAAAAAAAATGATAAAAATAATGGGTACTGCGTCGGTCAGGGAAGCAATTAGTGTGTCTGTCTGTTCCACTGATATCTCAAGACCCATATGTTCGTTTTTAATGAAATTAATGCATAGATGCTCTGGGCTAATGTGCAGATTTGATTAGATTTTATTTTTAATCCATGAATATTAATTACCTAATAACAAAAAAGTCCTCACATTGTTGACTAATACTAACAACAGATTTGGACACAAAATATTGTCATTGTTATATACTTTCACAGGTAATCACTTGATTGTAAACATTGTGGTACTATAAGCATGTGATGTATACAATGGTGCTCAAGGCAAAACCTGTTGGTGGCGTGCAACAAAGTGTGCATTTGATATTTTCACACACTTCACACACTTAGCAA